AGCTCTTATCGCGACACCCACGAATTGTACGAGGCATCGAGGTCTGTTCCCAGATATGTACCTACGTATGGGTGTGTGTGTGTGTATGTATGTATATGTATGTATGCATGCATGCATATATGTATGTATGTGCTACACAAAGTTTCTGCTTTAGACATTTCTGCTGAACAAAGATTCTACTAAGAATCTCCATTTGCATGGCTTCGCATGGCCTGGCTTGTCCGGACCTTGAGACTCTGTTGAGCCAGTACAAGACCGAATCAGCATACGATTGCCGGCGTGTACATACATATGCATACGAATGTACACACAAAAACATTTTTGAAGGAAGGAAGACAAGAATGAATGTGCTTGACATATAACATGTATGTGTGTATGTGTGCATGTGTGTATGTATGTATGTATGTATGTATGTATGTATGTACGTATGTATGTACGTATGTATGTACGTACGCACGTGTGTATGTATATGTATGCATGCATGCATGCATGCATGTGCGTACTTAAATACTACGCGTGTACCTACGTAGGTATGTATGTATGTTTATCCTTCACGAAATGATGCCGTTTCTGTTTCATCATCACCAAGGCCAAGGGGTTCTGACACACAGGGCACAGGCTTGCGCCGGACTTGAAAACTCGAGCTCGCGAAGAAGATCCCTAAACCACCACCATCGCGCCCAACTACAGCATCGGGACTCCTTTCCCCTGAACCCGAAAGGCTGGCCTGAACGTGGCCCCATTGTAGCTGTGGACCTGCACTGGGCTCGAAGTTTCTTTGCATGTGGGCCGCAAGTCAAATTTCACGTGGTGTAAAACCTGGGTTTGGGCATTAGGGCGAGGATGCTCTACAGCCATGAAAATCGGAGACCTCCCGCACAACTCCTCTCGGCCCGTACACCTAGGACCTAGGAGACCTCATGCCATGCTCCATGAAAATCTGAGACAAATTCCGATTAGTAATTCTTGTGAGCATAAATGTCAGATCAACTCTCAGAGCCGTTTGCTGAAGCACCTATATATCTCGCTCTTGTCATGCTACAAGGACGAATGTCGATGACAAGCCGAATCCGCCACCTTGGGCAACAAAGGCTCGCAGCCTCTGAAGCTGAAACTGCAACATCTCCCAAGCTTCTGGCCCATGGCCCGGAAGCCGCAAACAACCGGCCCATTCCAAATCCCAAACCACGGAACCTCAAGCTGCGGCAAACTGCTCTCAGCGGAGAGACGAGCTGAGCCCCGTAAGACTCGACAAGCAAGGGGAGTGAGGAACTCGGGAGGGTAAACCTTCCGGCCCCAAGCTGCTTTTCCAGCCCTCCGGGCCCTCCCTTCTTCTCTGTTGCTTGATTTACGGCATCTCTCTGCGCCCGACTGATCCCAGATAGAGCCCCGAACTCAATAGATCCTTGAGTCCCTGAGAGAGCGCGCTTCCGGCTTTTACACCAAATCTGCCTCGATGGGCATCGTCTTTGCCGAGCTCTGGGTGGAGGCAGCCACCTTCAATCGCGGCTCGACACGAGATACCCATGGTGGCAGACGGTTCGCAACAGTATAGGTCTTGGGGCAAGTCTGGGGTTGAAGGTTTTCCCGCTTGGGATTCGGTGGATTTAGGCGTGAACGACACCTTCCGAGAATCCTGACCTTCTGAATACCCAGCTTCAACGCATACGGAGCGGTACTCAAGCAACCTCTGCCCAGGACTTGGACACCAAGCCCTCAACCTGTATAAGACTGCCAGCAGACTATCCCAGCACCCCAATCCCTGGCATCAAAATTGTCTTCGAGCGCCCGGGCCATGGCGCATCACTGGACTTCGTCGTCTTCGGGCCTCGGCCAGCAGGGATTTCAGCGAAAGGATGACAAAACTCCGGAGTTTCGGTCGTGGAACAAAGGTCAGACAAGGCTTACAAAATCAACACTCTCTCTCTTGCAGCTCCAGCTCTCCGAGGCCCCGCTCAACTGGATACTCTGCGGAGATGCGACGCATGTTCCGGAAATCTTGGGCACGGCATGGGTGCGTGGCAAACTGAGGTCCCGACGAACCTTTTGCATTCCAAGGTGTCGAGAGTTCATGCAGGCGGGCGGCTGTGAGCCAAAGCCAAGGGGCCGGAAGGTCAACATTGAGGCGGCAAGTCAAAGCAACTACAGAACATCATAGCAGAGATCAGCCGTGGCCTGATGATTCCAACGAAGATGATCAATGGGAGTGGTGATGGCTAGTGATGATATCGATGGTGATGACTTCGACGAGGGTGGCTGAACAATCCATGATGGTAGAAGAAGACGATGTTGGTCATGATGACTACGGTAGTGATGATGATGATGGTGATGATGGTGATGATGATGACGGCCACCGTGGAGGTGATGACGACGATGTGTTGACCAGTACAAACAACCTGACTGCGACAAGTATGATTGTTCGATCAGGCGTTTAGTTCTCCGTTAATTACTTTCATTTCTGTGATGTCGTTCGTTGTCTGTGCTGTTCCGGTGGTGGTCAAAAGGGCCATGACGACCTTCGTTATCGTGATGTTGACAACTATGTTGGCTCAAACACGTCTAAAGCTACCACTCAGCCTGCTGGAGAGCCATTTCCGAGCAAGTTGCTCTTTCGGCCCTCGTCCATCTATACTCCTGTCACTGCAGCGCTTCTTTTCGCAGTGCCAGAAATTCTTCATAGCTTCTTTATCCGAAGATTTATGGTTAGGGGATCCACATCTGGCGGGCGACACATATGACTTAACGTGCCGGGACCCTTGGGAAAAAGATCATCCTGAGAACTTGTTGGCTTGAGGCCCGCATTCCTTCACCAACTTGTATGAAATAGCCATCAGAAACGAGGAAGGTAGAGAGAGAAGGGTCGTTTTGGGCTTGTACTGTACATGGACAACCATCGAAGCTCGTTGCTGTGATCCCTAACCATCTCGACATCTGACGCCCGGCGGCAGACTGAAACGAAACCGTCATGGGAACGAAAGCGGTAAGCCAGCTGGCAGGCAGCGAGTGCGGAAGCCTAGGGTGGCAAACTAACCGGATAAAAGAATCCCAAAATGTGTCCGAGCAGTTCATGTTTGCCTCAAACTATGTTCAGGCACTACCTTGCCTATGCTGACAAGTTGTGCTGCGCTTGTTACAATCAATCACATGTGGTCATAAATGGGTGCCTCTAATTGGAGACCAATATCCTCGCAACGTGCAAACTCTGCATACATGCACAGGCACCTGTCATAGTAACTGCCGATGCAGTTTGCGTTCCTCGTCTGCTGAGATGGCAGAAGAATATAAAGAGACTTTTGCTCCTGTTCCGTTCTTCTTGTCTTCTCCGGAATCTCGCCTGCCCACCACCTGACCCACTTCAAACAGCAGGGGCAGGTGCACGCATGACATGCCGTAACCAGCTCAGGAGTCTTGGAAGTACCTCGGATTGTGGGCTTTGCTTGGCTTCTTCGAGTCGGCATGTTGTGCGATCAAGACTTGAGGACTTGCGATCCAGTAGAAGCTTTCCGACCTGCAGATGTGGCAGCCATCGCTGTGGCATCCATGAAACAAAGCAGCGGCCCCAACAAACGCACCCGAATCTTCTGTGCCAGGCATGGATGGCCAAATCATACACAAACTCGAAACCCTGACACACCCAAGGCCGCCAAACGATGCAGCCGAGCATCTCCCTCTTGCCTTCGAAGTCAGGCCGCATGGTGCGGTCCTTGTGCTATACACTCAGCGGAACATGCAAAAAAACTACTACACAAGCCCCCGCATTACAGGTTAGGTCTTATTGACTTCATTAGTACAAGCCATAATGACGATATTCATAGTTAAGTCATCAACAAGGTATCAATTCGCAAATGGCATGGTCGGCTGGAGAAGGTACTTTCTAAGGTGACAATCCATGCGGGCGGAGACACAGGATAGGGTGTCAGCTTCGCTTGATCAAAGTGCATGAGCTTGGCATTTAAGCAGGCCCTCGGCTTTGTCTCCAGGCGTATAACAGAAGCCTGTACAAGACTCTAGCTACCGCGCTTCTACACAAGATAAACGGCAGATATAAACTTTCATTGCCTTATGCCCACCAAAATGTGCCTAGTAGACGTATGTAACTGCACAAATCAGAGTGACTCTCCACTTAGGTGCAGGCCCCGGGCTGCCAACCAGCCGGACAGACCTGGCTAAGCAACGAGCCTGGCTAAAACCTGATAACTTCGAATGGATACCGACTTCGATGATTTTAAAAGGCAGGGAGGAGGTACTCCTGAAAGTGCAGAGCTCTCACTTCACACTGGTCTGCAGATGTGTGCTCTGCACACCCTAGAACTCAATTCAGCAGGCCTCGTCCGGGTTCTCCTGAACGTATTTGATCGCATCCAGTACTCGAATGACCTGCAGGGGAAGCAGGATGGGGTCTTGGCTAAACAAGGGTGGAAGTACGGCTGCCACTCGTGTCAGGGGTGAGGGGCTTGGGGAGCTTCGGGGTTCTCTGAGCCCTGTACCGAGGATCCTTTGCAGGATGGGAGATTCAGCGCATCGTGGCAGCATGCAAAGATCACGCAAAGCATTGGGATACAGACACTCTTTGTGTTGGGCTCTACCATCCTCAGTCGAACGAATATGACATATGAAAGCTCGCCGCCGTCCTCGCATCCACCTATGTTAGGTTTCGAGACTAAAGAAGACAAGCCCCTCTTCCCGAACCGCGATAATTGAGAGACCGTAGTAGTGGAACAGAAGTACCCTAAAGTAGGCAGGGTACTACATATCTATATTGGTCTATGAATCAAGAGTGACCCCACACGGCAAATGTCAAGCGCGCTTTTGGCCCCTTCCTCGTCCACGTTGCGGCCGAAAGCATTGTTATTGATGGTCGAGTGCTGCACGACACCCTCCTGGCCAAAGAGAAGCCATCAACCGTCAAAGCACATGGGGATCCCGGAGCACCCTGTCGATAATGAAGAGCCCCCGGAAGGAGGCGCCGTCGGGGGCCAACACCTCAAATGAGGGATTCAAGGCAGGATGCTGCACCTGACATGCACCCCTGCGTAACCCTGTTCCCCAGTAGGTCCCCGGCACCATAAGACACAGCTAGATCCTTCTTCAGGTCCTGCGGCGTTAAAGGGCAGCATGTTTTGGGTTTGAGTTTGGGAAGCGCAGTGGCCGCCGGATTGAATGACTCCAACAAAGCAACGCAACGCAGGAAGTCTCGTGCGTAGCCACGATGATTTGGTAGAGCATGTGTAAGCTTCGACTTCAGCCTGGACCTTCAACCCTGGTTGTACCAAGATGGTCAAACCACAATCATACGCTGAAAGAACAACAATAGAGCTATGAGCTATTCAATGATGGAACGGTAACAACACTACAACCCTTTGGAAACAGCCTGAACCTAAAACACCAATATATCTTACAGTAAAACAACCAACTAGCATCGCCATGAGCAGTGCGCAAGGAGGACCATGTGGTACTATGCCATCCAGTACAGCAACACAGAACACATTCAACAAAGACAATTGCAGAAGTCCTAAAGCATAAACTGACCCTAAACCATCTGCAAACCTAAACCATCTGCAAAGAAAAAGCCTGCAGACTAGTTCTCTTTAGTCTCTTCCCGGTCCGAGAGAAGAGGATACTCGATGTCTCCTGCGCGGAAGCTTCGGGTAAGGTCTAGGAGCCTTTAGGGGCTTTCAAGGCTTGTGAGGTTAGGCACTTGGGCCATGGGCTCTCTGTAGCGGTTACAAGGTTTGGGACCTATTGGCGCCTTGGACCAGGATTCTCGGCGGTCCTTCTTCGAGGGCCCTTCCACAAAAGGGAGCCTCCACCATCCTCCACCCCAAGATCCTAAACAGCAGTCTACACGCACAAGCTCTACAATTTTTATAATTCCCTGAGTTCTCACAAGAAAGGTTGTCACCAAGCCCATTGCCAGAGCTGTCACTGAAGGTGAGAGCAACACTTGTGCAGGGCCTGGGGGATCCTGCTGAAGAGCTGATCAAGCAAGCCGGAATGCTCAAAAACACAGCTCCTAGGCCACCCTCGTCACGAGACATCTGAATCCAGGCCAGATGCGAATACCTGGCAGCCATGCGGTGTGCACTTTTGGGAGCACAGGCACCAAGCTCTGCTCTTAACACGGCGCTGCCTTAGCTGTGTCTCTTCTGTTTCGCCTCAAGCCTGCGCGCCTTTGGACACAGTGATACTGCATGCAGGTGTCCACTCCCCACAGACGTCAAACACTTTGTGGTTCACGGTGCATTCGCAAATGTTCCGGGGCCCCAACCCGAGAACAACTGCAATGGCCGGTCCGAAGCTGGTCGAATAACGCAAAGCACAGAAGACATCGGGCGCGCGCGGGCGCGCACACATGCACACACCCAAGTCCGAAAAATCGCTAACCCCATGCAGAACAAGCCATGAACATCTGCACAGCCCAACTCTGCACAAACATCGCACACCCAAAAGTGCAGGATTGCACACGCGCGGCAACGCGCTGCCTTCCAACTACTTTCAGGCTGTCATAAGCGCATGTATATGCAGGTAATGTAATGTACGCTTGTGTTTGTGATCTCTTTGAACCCCAGCAATCGAGCACAGGCTGGCTCGGAGTCCACGGAGACACCCAGCACCTGGATGTCGGGGCTCGTAGGTTGCTGTAAGATTCTAAGGTTTGCTTCTGGGGTTCTAGCTTCTTGCGAGGACTAGGCATGAGGCTTGGTGTCTTCATTCTGCTTCTGTGTGTCGGTTGGCTGCATCGTGTTCCTTCTCATAACTTACAACTTGTCGTGTCTGTACTGCTGAGACCCTGTTGGACTTGGGAAACGTGCCGTGTGCGGTTATGCGTGTAGGAGTGGATGACGGATGTCGATGTCGGAGGCGTGGTCTGGTTTGGGCAATACGGTCCTGGCCTTTAGTATCGAGAACCTTGAAGGCGTTCAGAATGGCTTGAAGTTTTCAGAGACTCAGCGCTGAAAGATGCGCCATGAATGTATCTGTTCTGTCTAGAACTCAACTGTCAGGTTTTGTGGCACAGAGTGTCCACCTGCAGCACACAGAATCATAATGACTGAAGTTGGTACTGAAACACCATAACCGACCATGAATGTTCCGGGTTTAAAGGTTGCTAAATAGTGGCTATTGAAGCTTGCAGATAGGACTTAGGAATAAATTTGGATTTTCGTCCCGTCACAACTGATGTCAGAATGCTAGGTGTGAAAAGCAGAGGAATCCACTTAACTCTGGGTCACAAAACAGGGAGCAACCAATCGTGTACCCGAAAGCAATGTAGAACAATGCTGGAGATCGATCCAGAGTTCTAAGCACCGTTAGGTTAACGGCACAGGCGAGAGACAAGTCCTACATCTCCCTAGGCGTAAGCGGTCAATTAGTGGGATGCACAAGGCACGTTTTGAGCAGTCAAGTTGCGAGTGAGACAGAGTTGGCCTGAAACGCAACAAGCAACCCAAGGTGTACGTGTATGCCAGTCGGTGAGAAATCACACTCCGCTCGACGCATGCTGACGCGTGAGTCTCACACGACTTTGGTCGTACATGGAGCCGTGCCTCTTCCGGAAGCTTTCAAAACGTGAAGCAAAGAGAGCACCAGGCATGAATCGATTCTTGGAGCTTGATCAGGCGTATGTTTGACACTGCACATTCGCGGCCCATGCGATTTCAGAACTGTGGCGATGCACTAAATCGGAGTGCACTGGACAGAACTGTGTAATCGTTTATCGGGTCGTGCACTTTTGATCGACGCGCTCAGAGCAGCAGCGCGGCAGCATCGAGTGTCAGTGAACAGAGAGAAACACACGAGGAAAATACCATGGCTGGCCATTGCACCCCTGTGGGTCTTCTCAGCTTCGGCAAGGACAAGCCACTGCTGAGGAAAGGAAATGGTGTCTGATCGTTGCTTCACCATCACAGCCGACACGAACATTAACTCTAGAGCGAGTCAACAATGCTCGTGGAGGTCAACCGGATCCATTTGAACAGACACCATACGTCATCGCTGTATCGATCGGTTACGCACGACCGACGTCACGCCGGGCTGGAGGACTACGTGTTCGATCGCCTCTCTCTTTCTTTCCTTTGCCTTCCTTTATCGGATCCTCCTTTATCGCCTTTGCCCTTCTCGCCCTTGGGCTTGCCCTTTGACTTACCCTCCCCTTTCGGTGCAGGGCTCTCTCGAACGGATGATTGATCGTCAATAGGTTCGCAGGAGGCGTAAGGCGCCCTGGAGGATTCATCGATCGAGATGACTTAGGCTGGACAGTTACAGTCCGAAGATTATCGCTGGGATGTTCAGGATCAGGTGCAGAGGACGCCATCATCACCGAATTGGGTGGGCCCCGCTCCTGCCGGAGACCTCCCACGTCTATCTGCAACCTCAGCCGCCGAGACAGGTCTGGCGTTGAGGTCGGGACGCCATGGCCATGGCTCCATCCGTTGTTCCTTCTTGGGCTGCTGAGATGCGGATCGCACAGCAGTCCCATAGCCGGGGGACCATCGGCTCGTTCCATGTTAACAGGATTTTGAGGATTTGCGTCGAGCTTGATCAAGGTCCCAGCAGCTGACTTGTTGACGACGGGCAGCTATGGCTCATCGTTAGCCAGCCGGATCAGGTCAGCAATAGTGGCCATCCCAGGTTGGGATCGTTGACCACGGTTTTCATCCGAAGAACGTATAGGGCATGTAGGGGCTTCTCTCGGCAGCTCAAGTACAAACAGCCGTAGTGTTTGACGTCTGGGACGGCTTCAGGCCTTGTCCGGACATGCCAACAACCAATCTTTCAATCGAAGTGTCAACTCGGAGCACTCCTTGCAATGTGCCTCACATTCTTCCGGAAGTTCTCGATGTCCTCCCTTGACAACGAGACGCTCGTGCACTTCATCTGAGGCACGCCAAAGAAGGCTGTCTTGCGATGCTCTTCCGCCAGAGATCGTGTCGCGGGGAAATTCCGGAAGGTTCGGAGATCTTGTATTGGTGGAGAGTGAACTCCGCCTGCCGATTATCGAGAACCTCATACATCAGCCAATGCGTCAGGTCAAGGTGCATGAAGAATTCGAAAGGATCGGACGCATGGATGTAATACAGTCCGTCTGGGTAGTAAATCGGTTTGGAGACCGCTTGTGTAGACAAGTCGCCACGGATGTCAGACAGATAGGTGCGAAAAGCAGAGGAATCCACTTATCTTTCGGTCACAAAACAGGGAGCAACCAATCGTATACACAGCTGGCAAGCAAGGCAATAGCAAAAGCAATGCAGAGCAATGCTGGAGATCGATCCAGAGTTCTAAGCACCGCTAGGTTAATTGCACAGGCGAGAGACAAGTCCTACACCTCCCCAGGCGTAAGCGGGCTTTTCCTGGGACGTTGCACAAGGCACGTCTTGAGCAGTCAAGCTGCGAGTGAGACAAAGTTGGCATGGAATGCAACAAGCAACCAAGGTGTGCGTGTATGCCAGTCGGTGATCAATCACACTAGTGCTTCCAAGCTTTGTGTTGCCCAGCTTCAAGGGAATCAGCTCTTTGTAATTGCATCAAAGTGGGGAAGGGGTGGTCTCACTCGCGGACCAGCCGCGACCTCACTCGGCAGCACGAACATCGACAGCGCAGTGCTTAGACCGCCCATCCTTTCCCTTAATTTGGACAGTCCGTAGGGTCCCACAAGCCTGACACAGCAAAAAGAGGCTTGCCTCGGCATCGCGCTCGCGGAACTCCTCGATGCGATCCGAAAATGCCTGGCATCCAGGCGCAGATCAGAGGTTTCGTGCTTGGGCTTCGGGGTGGGACCGAAGCCAAACTTGAGTGCCAGGCTTTGTATGCCATGTTTGACCCTCGAGCCATTCAAGATCCAGCTCTGAGCATGCAAAGCGCCCCCCTCGTCTATGCATGTAGCATGCTGAAGGCTTTAAGGCCATAGACAGATCAGGTAGACAGGTAGACCCACATCTAGGTACAACGAAGACTGGCGATGGTAGCGGTGGCCAACCGTAAGGTTGATTGCCGGAACTATCATCGTCATCTTCATGGTGACCATCACTAGCACCCACACCACCAGCAGCATCATCACCATCATCCTCACCACCACCACCACCACCACCACGATCCCATCGTGACCACCCTGGTAATCATCGGCAACAGCCTCTGCATGGCATGATCACTCCTGTTCAGCATCATGCTCCACTGACGTTGGCATTCACACTCAAAATCATCACTGCCATGAAAACAGCCCCACGGTCATCATCATCATCATCATCATCATCGTCCACATGCATTCCACCAGCAACAACATGATGTGGATGATCACCAGCATCACCACGTCACTTTCACCACAACCATCACCTCACCAGCACCAGCACCACGAGCACCAGCACCAGCGTCACCATCACGAGTCATCATCATTGTGAGCACCAGCACCACGACGACCATCATCAGCACCGACACCACCAAAGTCATTATCAAAATTATGGCCATCATCACCACAATCATCATGCTCATCATCGCCCTTATATCTGGGTCAGCGTCCTCGCGACCTTCATCGGCACCATGGTTCTCATCACGATTATCGGCATCCACTGCCGCCATCACCACCACCGCCGCCGCCAGTCTTCCCGTCTCTTCATCGCCGGCATCACCATGATAATCATGGTCATGACCGCTTGCATCATGTGCATCACGCTTGTCATCTTCTTTCTCTGCATCCTCAGCAGCAGGCCACGCAGCAGCTCTTGACCGGAGGTCGCTGCAAGACTACTACGTCTTCCAAGCAAGGCGATGCCACGATGATCTCCGTCGGGCACACGAAGGTGAAGTCCAAGGGGTAGAAGAACAGAATCACATACCTCAGGAAGCTCCCTTCTTCCAGCCGGAGCCAGAGCCCAGGATTCGATCTCTGCACTGCCATCAAAATATCAAAATGCCATGGTCCAGGCGTGCCCGAACAATGCAAACATAAGGGCCCAAAAGCAGTCATCGCGTGATCCCCCCGTACATAAAAGCTAAACCAGAAAATCGGAACAACATTGTGACAACAACGAGGTCAAACCTGCACAGACCCTTGAATAATGTGCCCAACGGCTATCTTAATCTTAAACAGCACTCCATTGAGTACCTTCCAGCTCGACCACAGGCAAAACAAACCTGGGGTACTCCCAGCCACCTCGTCAACTCGTTAAGAACCCAGCTTTCCACGGTAGTCAGTCAGGGAAACGTCTACGAACTCCTGGTCCACCACGGCCTGATGCCATGAACAGGGGCCTCAATTTTGCTGGTGCCTTGGGGGGTTCTGGCAGTGAGAAGTTCTCGGCCATGGCTTGATCCCTTCCCTCATTAATTCAGCAGCCCCAAAAATAAAAACGCTTTGGGGCCAATCCTCCCGAAATCATCCCTGCCCTTTAAAACCTGACCTAATTTGCATTAGGGGGGTCCGGAGCATGAGCAGGAACAGGTGTAGGAACAACAGCAAGAGCAGGAGCAAGAGCAGGAGCAAGAACAAGAGCAGGAGCAACAGTCAACAGCAAGAGCAAAAGCACGACCAACACCAAAAGCAAGAGCAGGAGCAAGAGAAAAAAGGCAGGGGCAAGAGCAGGAGCAAAAGCCAGCGCGGGAGCAAGAGCCGGAGCAGGAG